GGCTGGACGAGGAAGTTGGAGAAGCTCTTGATCTTCTCGACGCCGCGGATCTCCTCTGTGAGCAGCGGGCAGCGGATGAGGTGGAACTGCGGGGGGGGGGGGAGTGTCAGGCGTGTGGGCAAGTGAGACGAGCGAAGGCAACTTGTTTGCTTACATCTTCGGCGTAGAGCTCTCGAGCCTGCGAGACAAATGTGAGCGAGGGGGAGGGCACAGCGCTGCGCGCGAAACCACGCCAGACGCACCTCCTCCAGGTACTTGGCTTGCTGCTGAGTGCGCACTTTGCAGTGATCGCAATTCGACTCTGTTGGCGATGGCGAGCGAGCAAAGCAAGGTGATGGAGAGTCAGCGATGACCCCCTAACTACACTTCTGCCGTCCTAGGCGAGACACGCACCCTTCTTGGGGAAGAGGAGCTGGTTAAAGACGATGTTGTGCGTGTCGATCTCGTACGTCGTGAGCTCCTGGATGAGGCGTTCCGTCTCGTAGAGCGAGAGAAACTCTGCGATGCAGACGCAGACGAACGTCGTCTTCTCCTACGATGGGGGGGAGTGGGTTTCAGAGAGACCATACCGGGCAGCGCAGACAAGCGGCTGCATCACCACCACATCACGCACCGGGTCCTTGAACTGCGTGTTGACCTCGTTGATGATGGCGCGCATGCCCTCGAGCTTGGCGAACATGTCTTCCTGATTGGGCGCTCCTCCGCCTCCCATCATGCTCGTCATCTGGTTGAGCATGGGTCCCAGGCTCCTGCCCAAGCTGCTGAACTTGGCCAGGGCCTTTTCGAGCACGGTGGGGAACGAGAGGAAGCGCAGCGTGTGCCCCGTGGGTGCCGTGTCAAAGACGATGACGCTGTACTCCATGCCTTTTACGTGCTTCATGATCTCGGCAAAACCCATCGCCTCGTCCACGCCCGGAATGGCAAAGGCGAGATCTTGCATCATTGAGCCCATCGCGCCGCCCTGCGAGTCGGCTGTTGGGGGGAGGGGGGTGCCAAGGTCAGCGCGAAGGCAAGAAGGCAGCCCCCACTAAGCTAGCCACACACACTACTACAGGCAACTGCCTCGTCACGTTGCACAGCTCCGCCGTGCCACCACGTTTGAGCCTCTGCAGCACCACCACGTTTGAGGCATCCCTCTGCACCACCCCCACCCACGAACACGCCCACTCACACTGCTCAATCATCTCCTGAATGCTGCTAGCAGGGTCGATTTCCATTGCGCTGAGGTTGTGAAAGCCATGCACCTTTGTCGCCTCCTTGCCGAACTTCTGCCCAAACGCATCGCTGAGATTGTGCGCCGGGTCCGTGCTGATCAGCAAGACACTCTCGCGCACGGCCGCCATCTGCACGGCGAGGGAGCACGAGGTCGTCGTCTTGCCTACGCCGCCCTGTGTGTTGTTGCAAGAGGTGGGGGGGAGGGGGGGGCAAGCAAGGTGAGTGGATCGCCCGTTCGCGCAGGAGTGTGGCGCGCCCTAGA